GGGTCTGAGGGAGGAGGGGCCGGGGGCCTGGACTCCTGGGTCTGAGGGAGGAGGGGCCGGGGGTCTGGACTCCTGGGTCTGAGGGGGAGGGGCCGGGGGTCTGGACTCCTGGGTCTGAGGGGGGAGGGGCTGGGGTCTGGACTCCTGGGTCTGAGGGGCGAGGGGCTGGGAGGACTGGACTTCTGGGAGGAGGGGCTGGGGCCTGGACTCCTAGGTCTGAGGGAGGAGGGGCTGGAGCCTGGACTCCTGGTCTGAGGGGGGAGGGACTAGGGGTCTGGACCCCTGGGTCTGAGGGGAGAGGGGCCGGGAGCATGGACCGTCAGGGCTGAGGGAGGAGGAGCTAGGAGTCTGGACTCCTGGGTCTGAGGGAGGAGGGTAGGGGATGTGGACTTCCCCTTCTGAGGAAGGATGCTGGGACCAGATTTCTGAGGCACGAAGCCAAAGGGGCCTGGACCTCAGATCTCCCAGGGGCCTCCTGCTGGGCCTCCTCACTGGGGCAGCCTGAGTGGAGGGAGAGAGAAAGACGGGGAGGCAGCCCTGCTCTGGGAGGGCGTAGGGTGTGGGTGTGGGGAGTGCTCGCAAGACGGAGGAGAGTGGACCCTCCCTGATGCCCTCCCACCGCTGCTCCTCCAGGGCAAGTTCATCCGCATCAACTTCGACGTGGCCGGGTACATCGTGGGCGCCAACATTGACACCTGTATCCTCTCAGCTGGGCGGGAGCTCGGGGGCAGCGGGCAGGGAGGGCGACCCTGGGGTGGTATGGCTCACAGGAGGCAGGCTCTGTGCCGGGGGCCGGGGCCCTGCTGCTGGGATGGGTGCAGGGTGCTCAGAGGGGGGGTTGGGTGCTCAGGGGGGGTGCTGGGGGCTCAGAAGGGGTGCGGGTATTCAGCGGGTTTGCCAGGTATTTGGAGGGGTCTCAGAGGGTTGCCGGGTGCTCAGAAGGAGTATGAGGTGCTCAGAGGGGGCACTGGGTGCTCAAAGGGGGTGCCGGGGGCTCAGAGAGGGTACCAGGGGCTCAGAGGGGGTGCCAGGGGCTCAGAGGGAATGCTGGGGGCTCAGAGACAGAATCTGTGTGGAGGGAGGAGGGCAGGGCCCCCTTGTTTTTATGGGGTCAGCACACCCTGCATTGGGGTGGGGCGTCGTGGTGCTGAAGACCACCAGGTCCACCAATTCCCCGGGGGTCCCCAGGACCCGGCCTGTGGTCCTACTGTCCTACTCGGTGACGTGGCCAGGGTGCCGAATCCCCCAGCAGCGAGGTGTGAAACGCCGTCCCAGGGGTGTTGCCAGGGGCTGGTCTCCTATGGAGCAAAGTCCCAGCTCCCAGGAGAGTGGGCATTCCCCGTAACTTTTGACCTGTCCAGGCCCAGCGAGTGCCTCTCATCAGGGGATGCTGGGAACCCTCCCGGAATCCAGGTTCTCAGGCGCTGGCCAAGGGCCCGCCTGGTCCTCAGGCCTTTCCAGTGTCTCAGGTCAGCTGTGTCCACCCTTTTTTGCCCAGCTGTCATGCATGTGTTTAAAGGATTGATCGATTGATTGATTACTTAAAATTTATTGAGTTGGAGTCTCACTCTGTCACCTAGGCTGGAGTGCAGTGGCACACTCACAACCACCACAGCCCGACCTGCTGGGCTCAGGCAATCCTTCCGCCTCAGCCTCCCAAGTAGCTGGAACTATAGGCATGTGCCACCATGCCCAGCTAATTTTTTGATTTATTGTAGAGTCAAGATCTCGCCAAGTTGTCCAGGCTGGTCTCAAACCCCTGGGCTCAGGCAATCCACTCGCCTCCACCTCCCAGAGTGCTAGGATGACGTGAGCCACCACACCTGGCCACCGTGTCTTAGAAAGGGAGAACATGCAGAGTGACAGTCTAGTTAGGGATGGGAAGGAGATGATATCCACGTGGGGGAACTGAGGCGGGGAGACTAATAACAGTAAGAGACATTCTCGTGGGTGGTTAACTGTGGACCAAACACTGTCAGGGGTGGGGAGTGCTACACACGTATGAAGTCATTTCCCCTCACAGCAACTCATGGGGAGGTGTTCACTCCCAGCCCCTTGTACAACTCGGGAAACTGAGGCACAAGTGGCATGCCCAAGGCCGCTCATCCAGTTGGTGGCCAAGTTGCCAGCCTGGGCTATGAATAACCCCTCTGCTTCCTGGGATAGCCGGGGCAGGTCTGGGGGCCGGATGGGATCCCCTCATTCCCCCTTCACCGCTGGTCCCTTGACTGCTCCACCCAGATCTCTTGGAGAAATCACGTGCAATCCGCCAGGCCAAGGACGAGTGCAGCTTCCACATATTTTACCAGCTGCTGGGGGGTGCGGGGGAGCAGCTCAAAGGTGGGTGCCGCCGTCCCCGCCCACTCTGGGGGTGGGGGTCGACTGGGAGCCACATCCTGGCCGGGGAGGAAGAGCGGGGAGGGGGGGCACGGACATGTGTCCAGCGCCTGCTTCCGGCGAGGCTCTGCGCCCCGGCTCTCGCTGTCTACTAGTGGCTTCTGCCGCCTCCTGGCTTCTGTCTCGGGGCTTCCGGTTCCAGCTCTGCCGCCCGTGGCTCCCTGTCGCTTCCCAGCGCCGTGGCCCTCTCTCTCGTGGCTCCTCCACGCCCCAGCGGCTTTGCTGAGGCTGCTGCTGCTGTGGCCTCACGCCCTGATGATGCTGGTTTGTGTGGCCTCTGCTCCCCGCCGCCTCCGACTCCCCTCCTCCCTCCTGTCCCTGCTTCTCCGCCCCCCACCCCACCCCTCCTGTGTCTGCTGCAGCGGCTGCCGCCCTGTGGTGCCCTTGTCCTGGCTCCCTCGTCCTAGTTCCTGCTGCCACGTGGCCCCTGCTCACTTGGTTCCCGCTCTGTGGCCTCTGAGACCACGTCCTCGCCCTCTGGCCTGCGCGGTTCCCCAGCCTGTGCTGACCCCGGGTGGCCCCTGCCTGCTTTGGGCAGTTCCCTGACTCGGGAATCTCCATGGAAGAAGCAAGGGGGGGTCTCCTGGGTGCCCGGCCCTGCCCCCTCCCCCCAAGCCTGGAGGAAAGGACCCTCCCCCGAAGTTGACGGAGGGGGCGCGTCCCAGTCACCATCCGTGAATCCAGGACGTGAGTCTGACTCCACGGCTGGCCCTTGACCTTGACCCCGCTGTTGCCCCCGCAGCTGACCTCCTTCTGGAGCCCTGCTCCAACTACCGCTTCCTGACCAATGGGCCGGCATCCTCCCCCGGCCAGGAGAGGGAGCTCTTCCAGGAGACGCTGGAGTCCCTGCGGGTCCTGGGGTTCACCCACGAGGAGATCATCTGTGAGTGAGCCCTGTGAAGGAGAGTGGGGGGCACTGCCTGGGAAGCCGTGGGACCTGGCTGTTCATGCCTGTTTATCTGCTCAAGCATTTATCGAGCGCCTGCAGTGTGGAGGCATTTCTCGAGCACCTGCTGTGTGCAGGCATGGAAATGAAACTGACAGACAGCCCCGTCTTGGGGAGACTGACAAAGCCAGAGTCCCCAACCAAATTAGTAAGGAATTATATGGACTATTAGAAGACAATTTGTGCCCTGGAGAAAAAGCAGGAGATGGAGAGGAAGGGACACAGCTTTAAGCAGGAGGCCAGGGAGGAGTGGACTGAAATGGGGACGTTTGAACAAAGACCTGGAGGAGGTGAGGGCGTGAGCACTGAAGATACCAGGGAAGAGTGCTCCAGGTAGAGGGAACAACCTGTGCCAAGGCTCTGAGGCAGGAAAGGTGTGTCATGTTGGAGAGATTGCAACTGCCGGAGATGGAGCTGCAGAGGCCAGGGGGGGTCTCCAGCGCCAGCCGAGGGAGCTGGGACTGTGAACTGGGGTTGCCGGGGAGCCATGGGAGGGCTGGGAGCAGGGCCTGGGTGAAGTCAGTTCTGGGGGTAAAATAACCCCTGGGAGGCAGGGTGAGGGACACACTGCAGTGGAAGAGGCTGGGGGCGGGAGGATGGTGAGAGTTTAGGGAAGGCTCAGGACCCTGGCCCGGGTCACCTTGGTTGGCCCAGGCTGGGCAGTGCTGGTGTAAAGGACTCACCATGTTGGGGTTCTTTGCCCCCACTTTGTTCACTGAACAGCGTGGGTTTTTTTCCCATTTTTATTTTAGTTTCAGGGGTGTGTGTGCCTACCTGTTACATGGACACATCGCGTAGAGGTGGGGACAGAGTCTCGGAGGCCCGTTCCCCAGTGAACATTGTCCCCATAGGTAGTTTCCACCCAACTCCCTTCCCACCTCCCCCACTGTTGGCTAATTGGGGTCCCTAGTGTCTATTACTTCCATCTTCGTGACCATGTAGCTCCCACGTATGAGTGAGACCGTGCGGCGTTTAGTTTTCTGTTTCTTTTTTTTTTTTTTTTGAGTTGGCGTCTCACTCCGTCGCCCAGGCTGGAGTGCCATGGCACGCTCCTGGCCACCGCAGCCTTGACCCGCTGGGCTCCGGCGATCCTTCTGCCTCAGCCTTCCAAGGAGCCGGAACTACAGGCGCGCGCTACCACACCCGGCTGATTATTTGATTTGTGGGAGAGACAAGGTCTCACCACGTTGCCTGGCTGGTCTCGAACCTGCAGGCTCAGGCAGTCCTCTCGCCTTGGCATCCCAAAGTGCTGGAATGACAGGCTGAGCCACCGAACACGGCCCTGGTTTTCTGTTTCTGTGTCAGTTCACTTAGGATGATCTCCAGCTCCATCCGTGTTGTTGCAAAGGATGTGATTTCATTCTTTTTTATGGCAGTGTAGTATTCCATGGTGTATCTATGCCACATTTACTTTTTTTTTTTTTGAGTTAGAGTCTCTGTTGCCCAGGCTGGAGTGTGGTAGCATGATCACAGCTTACTGCAGCCTTCACCTCCTGGGCTCAGACTGTCCTTCCACCTCAGCCTCCCAAGAAGATGGGACTACAGGTGTGTGCCACGGCACCCAGCTATTATTTTGGGTTTTTATTTTGTAGAGATGAGATCTCACTCTGTTGTGCAGACTGGAGTGCAGTGGCATGCTCACGACCATTGCAACCTCAACCTGCTGAGCTCAGGCAATCTCGCCTCAGCCTTCCAAGAAGCTGGAAGTACAGCTGCACGCCACCATGCCCAGCTAATTTTTTGATGTATTGTTGAAATTAGGTCTCGCCACGTTGCCCAGGCTGGTCTCGAACTCCTGGACTCAGGCAATCCTCTCACCCATGCCTCCCAAAGTGCTGGGATTATAGGCGTGAGCCACTGCACCCAGCTATGCTACATTTTCTTTATACAGTCAACTGTTCTTGGGCACTTAGGTGGATTCCATCATTTTGTTATTGTAAATAGTGCTACAATGAACATATAGGTACAGCTATCTTTTTTATATGTTGATTTCTGTTCCTTTGGGTAGATCCCCAGAAGTGGGATTGCTGGGCCAAATGGTAATTCAATTTTTAGTTCTTTGAGAAATCTCTAGACTATTTTCCCTAGTGATTGAACTAGTCTACAATCCCACCAAGCAGCATGTTTTGACAACATTTCTGTTTCAGTGTGACATTTGCCTGCCCAAGCTCCCATAAGAAGGTTTTACAAATTCCAACCTGGGCAACACAGTGAGACCCCATCTCTACAAAAAATTTTTAAAAAATCAGCCAGGCACGGTGGCACATGCCTGTGGTCCCAGCTACTCAGGAGGCTGAGGAGGGAGGATTGCCTAAGCCCAGGAGTTAGAGACTGTGGTGAACTGTGGTTGTGTCACTGCACTCCAGCCAGGGCAACAGAGTAAGACCATGATTCAGAACAAAAACAAAACAAAAGAACACATCCGTTTAGATGGACCTTAGTCTTTTTTGAGGCTGCGTGATGTTTTGTTTCCATGGTGTATCTATGCCACATTGACTTTTGTTTTTTAATTGTGTATTTATTCTTTTTTTTTTTTGAGTTGAAGTCTCACTCTGTTGCCCAGGCTGGAGTGCATTGGCATGATCACACCTTACCGCAGCCTTCACCTCCTGGGCTCAGGCAGTCCTTCCGCCTCAGCCTCCCAGGTAGATGGGACTACAGGTGTGTGCCACTGCACTCAGCTATTATTTTGGTTTTTTATTTTGTAGAGATGAGATCTCACTCTGTTTGGGTAAGCCCTGGTTCTTTTAACTGAGCGCTCTGAAGAAAGACGCTGAGGGATCCCTGGACTGGGCTGGGGCTGCCCCCAGGTCTGACTCGGCTGGTCTCTGGCGCCGTGGACAGCCCGGGAGCTATTGTTGGCACCAGGGCCCAATGGGGAGGGCTGGAAGTGGAGCATGGTCTGGCCGTTCTGCCCAGGCTGCTGGGAACCCGGCCCCCTGGGGCCTGTGGACTCTGGTTCTGGGGCCTCCCTGCTGCCACCAGGATTTCCCAACTGTGGTTGCATAATCCCCCCGCCTGCGTGACTCCACAGCTGGGCAGCTGGCAAACGAGCCTAGATCGCAGCTACAGGGGACCTGGGCCTCCCAGTCTGTCCCCTTTGGTCCCTTCCTGGCCTCTTGACACCGCCGGCTCACGTGACCCTCCCAGCAGCTGCCCTGCTGGGCGGCGGGCACAGAAGCAGTTCTGGCTTTTGCAATTCAGAAATAAGAATTTTGCAGCAATCCGTTCCGTGTGTGTGTGTGTGTGTGTGTGTGTGTGTGTGTGTGTGTGTGTGTGTGTCACATGGCCCGAATAGGGCCAAGGGTCACACTGAGAAAGCCAGGCCTTCCCCCTTGTCCTTGACCCCAGATTCCCACTGTTTTGTTTTTTTTTTGAGTTGGAGTCTCACTCTGTCGCCCAGACTGGCATGCAGTGGCCGCTCCCGGCCA